ATATACATTTATTACAAAGGTAAACAACTGGTACAACCATTTAATGTCACGGTACGGACTTGTACTATTCATATAGACCTAGTCAGCTTTAACTTCGTGCCTTTTGGGAATTTCCCGCTTGTTTAAGATAGCCACCGATTTGCACTACCCCGAGGTCGAGCATTGGGGACCCTCGGGGTCAAACCTTGACCTATGCTTTGAGGCTTCTGAAGACGGGCTGTGAAATGCCATAATGATCACAAAATTGGACTCTCCGATTTTAGATGTACACAAATAGTTCCCACGTTTCTTAGAGTGAAATGATAAGAAACAGTCTTGAATCCTTGCCTCTTCGATACTTCCATTATGACGTCAGCCTATCAGAGCATTAAATACCATGACTCAAAAGCTGCGCAAAGGTCGCTGTCAGCACGATTATCGAGAAGCCCACGAACCGTTACTAGTTCGGCTCTTTCGCTTCACGAAACGCTGCCCAAACGGCTTCTATAAATACCTCAATTGTTTGTCATTCATACTTTTACAATATCTTCAAATTTTCAGAGCTAAGTTGCCATCTTCTGCATTCATCCCTTCTCTGTGCTTGCCTCTTCATTTTCTTTCTCAGAAACTTCGTTATAGTTATGGCTAAAACTTCCAAAACGGTACCTCAGAAAGAGGGCATTTCTTCTTCATCATGCCCGTCCAAAGGCAAACCAAAAACACCTCCAAGTATTGAGCAGTATACTCCTGGCCACTTCGATACGGTCTCCGATTTTACTATTAAAAAACCACCTTCCACACCGGGCCGATGCGAGCCCATGTCTCGGTACATCAGTGTGGTGACTATATAAAGAGAGTTAAGGTGGACTGCCGATGGGGGGAGGCAGTGCAAGTAGAGATCCCCACAGTTGAGGAAAGCATAGTAACACAAAAACCTGGCTTCCTTAGCGTATACACATACCCCTTCACCCTAGGCCATGTAGATTCTTCTTCCCCATCGATAGATCCAGTGATTCTTGACTTTTTTCATCAGTACCGAGTGACACTCGGTCAGATCTATCCTTCTTTCTGGAGGATTGTTTACATGCTCAGATATTTCTCCAATAGGGTTGAGGGAATGACCTTTACCCTCAACCATTTGATCAGATTGTACGGCCCCCATCTCTTCCGAGAGGGTTTAATCAAGCTTCACCATTGATCTGCCAAAACGTTCTTTGCGAACACCGATGAGGACAAAGACCGGGGATGGATGAGCCGGTTTGTCAAAGTAAGAACTTCGAACATCGTCCTTGCTGATAGGATGCCATTCCCGGAGGAATGGAACATGAAGCATAAGTGTCCCTATATCGAGCACATTTTATTACCCCTTCTCCTTCTTCTGAGATGATCTTCTTTTGATTATGTATCCACCATTTGATTCCCCGGCGCGGTTCAAAATCTTTCGGGATGGATCAAACTACTAGACTCTGTTTTTCCATACAACAAGCGTGTTTGGCGTGATTTGACTAAAATGCGGTGGCAGGCTAAGAACCACGGTATGCTTTTGTTGTTGTCATTACCAAGCTTCATATAAGTATTCTTTTGGTGATAAGTTTAATACATCATGCCTGGGCAAGCCTCGAAGATGGCGTGTCGATGAGACCACTTCCTCCTGGTGAAGAACAAACCTCGAAACCCGACAAGGGTAAGAAGAGGAAGAAGGAGACGTCGGCTGAGTCCCCAGAATCAAAGAAACCCAAGGTCTGCAAGCCTAAGACCGATGCCACGGTCTTGACTTCAACTGTTGCGGCAAGCCTTCATGAATATGATGATGATGACGACCGCCCTTTAGTACAAAGGGTAAGACGGAGTGCTGATACTCCACAAGCTGTTGGTCAGAAGGCCGCTGAGACAGGGGTGGCCGATGTGGACCAGACTCGTGCTAAGGAGACCCTCGAGGAGGGTTTGGGCACAGTCCCCGAGCCTCAAGTCAGACATGGTACAGTCCGTGCCGGTGACTCCTCGGCTCGAGGGCTCAAAGAGCCTGAATCCGAAGTTGTTCGGCCTCGAAAAGAAACCCTTATAGAAATTATTACCATGGGCGGCTTTGAATCGAGCCCTTCATTTTCTCTAAGGGAAATAAGGGATTCCCAGAACAAGGGTGATGCCGATGCGAGGACCCCTCAGGGAGAGGATGATGCATTCAAGAACTACTTCATCGATGTCGATAAGGACACAGATCTCGACGTCCCCGTCGCTCTCGAGGAGGCTGAGAGGCTTCAAAAGTAGGCGATATTCTTGACATACCATTTGCACTTTAAATTTTTACCCTTGCCTTTCTAACTTCTTTGTTGCAGGTCAAGAAATTGTATGACCAAGTGTCATGACCCAAAATCCCAACCCGGTCGTGATGGCGCCTCTCATGAGGACAAGGCCAGCCAATCAACAAAACAGTACATCTCTTTATAATTTCTTAGCAGGAAAAAGTCTAAATCATGGGCAATATAATCTTAAATGCGAAATAAACGTGATAGAACAAGGAAAACCATCCCAACTCAGCCCGAAATCGGGGTGTCACAAGTCATGAGCTACTACCGAGTTTACTAATATTTTACAAAGTCTGAAATTATCATAAATAACAAAGATAAGGGAGAAAACGGGGCTG